ATTAATTCCAAATCTCACCTACCCCCAAACAAGAATAGAACCCAAATAATATAATATTATATATATATATACATACATAGCTGCACTCACAAACCTCAGACCGCATCCCAAAAAAACCCTAACTCTCTCTCTCGCGTGCAACAATGGCTGCGCTACAGATCACCAAACTCCCCAACATCACCACCGCTCCTCACCACCATAACGCTCTCACCACCGCCGTTCCGCTCCTCCGTCTCCCGCGCTTCCCGCAACATGATAACTCCGTCACTCGCCGTGACGGCCTGTTCTCCCGTTCCTCCGTTAAGTACGACGCCAGCCGTCGGTTCGGGTTGGTTGCGGTTCGGGGATTCGACTACTCGGCGGCGTCTACTGCTACTACGACGACCGAGACGGAAGAAGTTGTCGTCGTGGAGGAGGAGGAAAAGCCGGCGGAAGGGAACGGTACGGTGACGAGGTTTAGGAAGGCGGCGGAGGCGGAGGAGTATCCTGATGACGTGGCGGCTTTTGAGGTGAGGAAGGACGGCGGGGTCTGGGACGACATTCTACTGAAGCTGAGGCTGATGGTCGCGCCTCCGTGGCAGCGGGTGCAAAACGGCAGCGTTCTGGTCATGCACTTGGGCGGCGAGGTATATCTGTATATTAATTAATTAATATATATATCGTCACTGAAAATTTCAATTTGTAGTCCAGATGATGACGTGGCTTGAATTAAATGTTTTGCAATAATAGTTTTGAGTAAATTTGATGGTGGTGGTGGTGGTGGTGATGTCAGATATCGGATTTGAAGGGGAAGTTCTTCTCGCCGGAGTTCACACTGCCGCAAATCAGTGAGAACTTCGCCAAGGCTGCGAATGATCCGCGCGTCGCCGGGATTTATCTCAAGATCAGCTCCTTGAACTGTGGGTGGGCGAAGCTGGATGAAATCCGTCGACATATAGTGGATTTCCGGAAGACAGGTTTTTTACTTTTAAATTTTTTTATTTATTTATTATGAATGATCGAATATATTATATATACTTCTTTGAATCATAGAAAGTGTGGGTATAGATATTAGGGGGTGAGATTTGGAGCATAGATTTAGAGAACTTATATATTTTAACTTTTTCCCCCATAAATTTTAGATTTAGCAAAAAATCATATTTTTGTACTTTTTTCATCTGGTAAATTTTCGATTTCTGAATTTTAGAAATATAAATCTGTAATAAATGTTGAGATTTTATATTTAATTAATATTTTTATTAAAGAGATTTTTCCCTCGTAATATTATTTATTTATCCCATTGAATACCCTTATCAAATACCAACAAGAATTTCTTCTTTAATTTTACAATTACCAAAAAAACAATATTTCTTAAATATTTTTCAAAAATTTGGAGATATAATATATATATATATATATATAAATATAAATATAAATCAAGAATTGTGAACCTGTATTGAAGGTTATATCGAAAATTTCAACGATAAGATTTTTGTACTAAAAAATTATGGTTTAACCGTGATTCAATCATTTCATACCACTAGAACCATGCACCTATCCATTTAGTATCCGGTACTAGGTACATATTTCTGATCCGACAAGATCATAGGATACCGCTTTCTAAAACATTGATTTGAACTCTAATTCACAAAACCATACCTTTAACTGAATTTCAAAAAAAAAATTGCAGGGAAATTCGTGGTAACGTACATGTATAGGTTCCACGAGAAGGAGTATTTCCTCGGGTGCGCCTCCGACGAGCTCTACGCACATTCGCTCTCACCCTTCGGTTTGTACGGCTTCGCTCTCTCCGCAACCTTCATCAAAGGTGTAATGGAGAAGATGGGGATGGAGCCGCAATGGGTGAAGGTTGGGAAGTACAAGAAGGCAGGGGACCAAATCTCTCGCACCACTATTGACAAGCCACACCTCGAGGTCTTGAACCACATGCTCGGCGAGAGATACGACTACTGGATGGACGTCGTTTCTTCTTCCACAGGTATATATATTTCGCTATCCGAATCTCAGCATGATGTACAGTTTCGTGGGCATAGGGTTTCGTTGTCATTTTAGTATCACGTAGCTTAATTGATTACACGATATCTTCTTCCGCTGTCTGACAACGGAACTTGCAGGGAAGAGGAGAGACGACTTGGAGAAGTTGCTCAACGAAGGGGCCTACGATATGAACAGGCTGAAGGAGGCAGGACTGCTCACCGACGTGCTCCATGAAGACGAGGTAATATTACCGTACCTAAAATTAATCCTTAGATTAGAGTACGTAACGGATGTCAATGGTGCGTACGTGATGTCTGCGAGAATGTGCTCATAATCTGACGCACAATGAACGCGCTATGAGCACATTCTCACACACGCCATAACAACAATATTATCGTTGGTCTATCTGAGTATTGATCAGTTTAACGTGCCTTACCCTACGCGCACACAGGTCTTGTCACGAATGAAAGCGAAAGTTGGACTCCGAAAGGACCAAGTTCTGCCTATGGTTGATTACAGGTTTTTTTTTGGATGTGAATTTCTCCAAACATATTGGCATATTATTCTAATTTAACTTTTAATAACAAACTTCAACTACATTGCCTGAAAAAAAAATACACGCAGGAAATACTCGGGAGTTATGAACTGGACTCTGGGGTTGAACTCCGGCGAAGACGAAATCGCCGTGATCCGAGCATGTGGATGCATCGACATGAGCTGGAGCATCCTCAATTTCCCCGGCACCGGCATCAATCCACACGACGTCATTAAACAAATCCGCGCTGTCAGAGGTAAACTTTGAATCTATGGTTGGAAAATCATGCTCGGTTTATGTCCCGGATCGGTTTGTGTTTTAGAGATTTCGGTTTCGATTTAAACCGAAAATCGATAAGAAAGCAAAATCAAATCCAATCATTGCTCTAACCGAAATTGTTACATAGGGAAAGATGTTTCGATTTTTGGTATGTTCTAACCGAAAACCGATAAGCCCCTTAACGGGTTTTGCTTTGGTTTTGGGGAAATAGTCTATAACGATTTTTTATTTAAATGATTTTGATTCGGTTAAACCGAACTGACAACCCTACCCAGTATCACCTTGATCATCATGTAATTGCAATTTTGCTTTGTTTATGGTTTTTGAACTGGCAGAGTCGAAAAAGTACAAAGCCCTAGTCATCAGAATCGACAGCGCCGGCGGCGATTGCCTCGCATCCGACATGTAAGTGCCCCGACTGCATGCTACTCAAATCAACACTTCTGCACCACAGATTTTTTGCCACTTCACAGCTAGCCACGGCCAACTGCTGACAGGATTTGGAGAGAACTTAAACTGGTAGCGGCGGAGAAGCCCGTGGTAGCGTCGCTCTCGGACATCGCAGCTAGCGGCGGTTACTATATCGCCATGGCGGCCGACGCCATCGTCACCGAAAACTTGTCACTGGCTGTTTCTGTTGGCATCCATCAAGGTAATTTTACCCGTAATCTTGAAAAAAGGCTGTACTACTCTAGCTAGTGTTTTTATGTCGACGTTTGTATTTGATATGTACAATGTGCTCGATTTTCGATTCGTAGGGAAGCTTAATTTTTCGGAACTGCACAAAAGAATTGGGCTGAACAAGCACATCGTGTCGAAGGGCAGATACGCTGAGTATCCTACATCTGGCCATCGTGCTTTGAGGTTAGCTTTATATGATCATAATGTGCTCATTATCAGCAACTAATTACTACGATTAAGCATAAAAAAAAATGCTTGTTTGTGTTAACCAAATCGGTGAGTGACGTTTGGTTTGTCTAGGCCGGAGGAAATGCAACTGTTGGATAACATCAACAAGCATTGGTACACAATATTTATAGACAGGGCAGCAACTTCTCGTTCCATGAGTGTGAGTGGTTTTTTTTTTTTTTGAGAATTTTTTAGTTACGTATTAATATGCGTATATATGGATATACACGTATTATGGTTATTGCATGTGCAGATTGAAGAGATGGAGAAGCTGGCACAGGGCAGGATCTATCACGGTTCACATGCCTTTGCACTCGGTTTGGTCGATGCGGTTGGTGGGATGGCTCGAGCCATCGCCATCGCCAAACACAAGGCGAATATCCAGCAAGACAAACCGGTGAGTTTTTTTCCTTCTGTTTTTCTTTTGAGACGAACCTGATATTGGTCGTCTCGAGCTGACCTAACGAATTGAAACGATGTGTACGATGAAACACAGGTGAGGATAGTGGAGCTAACCAAACCCAATTCCGGGCTGACCGAGTGGATCACTGGGTTGGGGACGGTCGTGGCTGGTTTGGGCGGCGCCTTGGGTTCGGTTTCCGTGGGCCCGAAATTCGGAGACCATGGAGTTGAAGCTCGGGTGGATGTGTCGATGTTAGATGGCCTGGATGGAGGAGAAGTTTCGGAGTACTCCAACCCTATCTTCACTATCATGAAGTCTTTCCTCAAGCTCGGTCTTGGAAGCATATGAGCAAATTGAGTGGTGTGGAAATGTTGAAGTTTGGACCTTTTGTTTGCTTGTAATCCGATTTGCACCTGGAGAGGCTACAACTAGCTAGATAACGGGGGGTGTCTCATGTTTCAGCATTATTGAGTTCAAGCTATTTTATTTTCTGTGTCTTTTTTTAGTTTACCGCTTATGACATCAAAAAGAGTCGTTTGGTTGTTGGATTTCAAAAATGAATATTTTGAGGAAAAAAATATATTTGGATTTATGATGGATTTATTATATTATAGATTTCAGAAGTCTATTGTTTGTACGATAGATCTGATAATATATTTTTGATGAATTTGTTACAAAGATCAATAACCATTAAGAATTTGATAGATATATGAGATTACAAATCTGTGGGCCCACGAATTCGGATTAAAGAAAAATCCAATATGTAGTCCCGTGAATATATATGACATCCACCATGATTCAAATCCAGCACCTAGAAGTTTAATTAATTTGGGATTCAGGAGTACTAGTGATGTTATTTTGTTAACGTACTTCTGGCATTAGTTTTTTGCGTTTTGGCATCAACCTTACCAGGCAACATTTATCCTTCTTGTCATCCACCTAGTACTTTCACATCATCCACAACCATACCTTCACAGAAATCGTCATTAGAATTAAGCTTCTGACCATGCTTGTGGTTCTCATCCCTTACAATGTTGTTAAGATAGCACGTCCATATTCTTTTAATTTTCACAACCTATGATGCATGATCTAAATGAGATACCTTCGATCTGGATGTAATAGGAGTACTTTCAAATTTTCCCATTTCATTCTGGTGCATCCACGGCGAAGTTCTCTTCCACCTCATGAAATTCTTCGTGGCGCGCACTTCCTGACTCGTTTAGATCACCACCACCGGTGAGAGGTGGGGGAACAGTGTTCGCATTCGCAAAGAGTACCTGACACAAACATGAGTTTATACTCAAACTCCAATATTAGCCGGCTAAAAATACGTTATTATCGCCCCCAAAGAAAGATAGCAGTAACATACCACCGCTTTGAATTCCCGTGGAAATCGATCCCTGGCATCCCACAAAATATCAACGTCGTCACGCTTCAAGATCAAAATTTTTTCTGGCACAAATCCCGTGTGGAACATCACTCTGAAGATCATCTGTTCGTCCAACAACTCCTCGTCCAAGTAGACACACTCAATAACGATATCGCCTTGTACACGACATCTAAGATCTACCTTCACAAACACACACTCAGCTTCCTGCAGTTGCAAAAATTTTCACGGCACAATCAACTCATCAATGTTAATTTGCACATTCATCCTTCATCATTTTAGTTTCATCACGATATCGAGACATAGTTACCTGTGCATACTGGCGTACCAGTCTCTCAGTCTTCCAACTCGAACACAAAAGCTTACACATTTCGTTGCCCGGTTTCGAAGGATCCTTACCGTAAACACGCACAACCGTCCTGCAACCTTCTCCCCTCTCGCAAACCGGAAGCGCTCTAAGCACCAAACAATCGAGATCCAACGACGACGAGGCAGAAGGAGTCCAATACCCCCCAACAAAATTCCTTCTCGAAACATACCGGAGATATCTAAGATGTGAAGGGAGCGAATTCAAACCGGGAAAAACACACAGAAGTTCATTAGGAGCTAGCTTGTATATCGCTTCAAGAGTCTTCAGCTCCCCAGTATACTGCCCTCGATGGAGCAAAAAACCGGCAAGCATGAAAGCAAGAACATGCCACCCTCCTCTTTCGCAGTGCATCAACAACACGCTTTGTTGTTCCATCGACAGCCAGCTTTCGCTGAATCGAAGGAAATGACGTATTTTCTTGAGAGGCAACAACGGACACCCTGCGTATTGACGAGGGTAATCCAAAACCATCACGTCGTCGTGCTGCGTTAAGATGTCTGAAAATTGGCTAAGTCGTTGATCTCTTTCATGAAAGTTGAACACCGTGTACGATGCATCGGGGAACTGGTCGTGTAGTTGTGCTACGATGTTGTTCAAGTAGAGCTTGTACTCGTCATTTTTCATGACATTGGTGGAAAGGCAACTGTTGAAAACTGGAAAAAAAAAAAGATAGGGCACGGGAGAGAGGAAGAATAAAGGAATCATGCAACGGGAAGGAAGACTAGTTCTTTGAGGGAGGAAAAAAAGAAGAGGAAGGGAAAGGAGGTACCGAAAACTCTGTCGGAGATCTCAAGAAGCCCGTCCGGCGGATTCCGGTGGAATAAGCGTCTGCACAACGCCATCTACGCGCGGTGGCTGGATGGATCCAAATCGATGGATTTCTAAAATTACATATCTCTCTCTTCCGAAGACAAAATTAATCCACCTTCAGTTTCGTCGTTCCAACTCAGATTGCAAAAAGTTCGTGTGGCCGAACGCAAAAGGGAATCGGCGAATATGAATGCCCGTGCTAGGTAATTCGGCACCAACGTGAATGATGAATTGAATCGGAGAATTGATATGTTGAAGAAGTGAATGTGATAGGGCGAAAGGGTCAGAGGGAAATGAGGAAGATGGAAAAGAAAGGGGAAAATGAGAGAATTCTATAGTGTCGGGCAAGTACCTCCTTTTTTTAGGGTGGCTATACGGTTCGGTCCGGTTAAATTGGCCCAAATTGATCCGGTCCAGTCCGGGTTTTTTGAGAATATAAGGACCGAAGATTGGATTGGATACAGTCCGGTCTTGATCCGGTCCGGTCTTGACCCGGTCCGGTCCCAATTCGGTCTTGATTTTATATTGAGATTATGAGAATTTGAGTGGCCTAAGCCTAAAAGGGTGAGGAGTTGGTTAAGTTTTGTACTAAGTGTAAAGGTTTGTGACCGTTTATGCAAATTACCCTTAAGTTTTGGGTGTTGAGCTCTCTTATCCGGTCTTTATCCGGTTTTTTACCTCAAATCTAAGCCCAAAGATTGGATTGGATTGTTTACTATCCGGTCCCGGTCCGGTCTCGGTTCAGGTTATACGGTCCGGTTTTCGGTTTTTTATCCGGTCCCGGTCCAAATAGCCAGCCCTACTTTTTTTAGAGAAATGAAAAGGTGGAGAAAACATGTGTGGCAGTGAATTTTATGTATTAAAATTGTTATATTTTGTATTAAAATTTTGGCTCCATTAATTCATGTAATTTAATGCCTTGGAAAAAAAATTAATGTAGAATATAGAAGAAGCACTTATCACTACTTCAGCATTAGAATATACAAGAAGCAAGTTGCAAGTGATAGGTATTTGTTCCAGCCACAAATAAATTGGTCTCGAACAAGAAAAACATTATTTTTCTTACTGTGGCTGTGGCTGTTGCAAATCAAAATTATCCCCGGCCATTTTCCTCTGTGATGAATGTTTTAAATTTTCGAGCAACGTCACACAATGGGTCGCAGAATTTCTTGTTCTTTGTGGCGGTTTTTCCTAGTGGTGGTGAGGTGAACCAATTGCGCCGAGGGACGACTTTGGAAGATTGTTGTGACTATAGGTGGCAAACAGATTTGATTTATGGATTAGTGGATCGATCAAATGGATTAGTCGATTGTATTATACTATTATAGATTCAAGTGAGCCAATATATAAATTTTGAAAAGTGTATAAACTAAAACATAATTTTTTCGACTATATTTTTCATTAAAACATAAAATTTAGGTACCATATTGTAAAAGATATAAAAAAAATAGATACTAAACTCCAATGTGTTGTGGCGAGGGCCTACAAGCCAATCATAAACAATGCACAATGTAACAAAGTTAGACATCGATCCAACCATTTATCTTTGCCTTTCAACCATGGATTTTAACCACTTTATTAGACATACGTTCATTACAATTCACCCGCAGAAAGCTGTGAGATATTATTAGTAAAAACTAAAAATAAAGCATACAAAGGCATAAAGGAAATTCATGATACATATAAACATCACCACACCACGTACAAACGACAGGGAAAGACGCATGTACGTATATCTTACTTAGTAACAACGATCGACTTTGCCTAGCGAGGTTGTACTTCCGATGACCTAAAATAAAAGGCTCATACATTAGGCCATTGTTTCTCACCTCCGGCGAAGTCACCGGCCTCATCTAGTCCAGCTTGATGGGTTCTGTAGCGCCGGGAGCACCACTGTGAACCTTACCGAAGACACCTCCGCCAATGGGAGCAAGCCACGACGAATCAGCCTTTCCAAATACTCCACCGCCGATGGGAGCCAGCCACGATGCATCTTCACCGGAGTTCTCAGCCTTTCCAAAGACGCCGCCGCCGATAGGAGCGAGCCACGATGCATCAGCGCCTCCATCTATTAGAGCACGACGACAAGTACGTAGTATTATGTCATACTATGAGTATGGGTTATGTAATTTGACATAGTATTTTTTTTATATTAACGTTATTATATGAATCCGTCATTATATTCTACATATAAATTAAATATAAACCCGACATGATTTCAATAATAAAACACAACAATTTCCACCGAATTTTGATTTACCCAACACCGTTCATACCGTCACGAGCCTTTCCGAACACGCCGCCACCGATCGGAGCCAGCCAGGATCCATCACCCACGTTGGCACGCATTCTCACCGAGTTCTGATGTGCCGCCGCCTTTCCAAAGACGCCTCCACCAATGGGAGCGAGCCACGAGGCGTCACCGCCTCCGTTCGCGCCATTTCTGGACTTTCCAAAGACGCCGCCGCCAATGGGAGCCAGCCAGGAGGCGTCGGCTCCGTGTATTGCAGTGGTGGGAGCGTTAGGGAGAAGGTTGGTAGCAAATGAAAGAGCAGAAGAAGCCATCTGAAGTATACATTGGCTATTCCACAGCAGATGGTATTTATAATGTGCAAATTCCTGTAACAAATGTTATTAATATACCAGCGAGTTGGCAATATTAATATTAGCGAGTGGCCATATATATATATATATATAGCAGCAGCCGGCCGTACCGTAGATTATTAAACTAGTGTAACTGTTGGAAATGTGTATGAATAGCTTTGAAAGCTATAGAGTCTCAAGTGGAAAAACTACCACATTGGTAGTTTTACTTGGTGAAGTGATTATAAAGATAGGAGCCTCTCTCCTAAGGGCATGCCCCTTGGGGTGACCCACTTTTGTGGGAGAGGGAGGACCTAACGGACCACCACACACGCGCGCGCCGGCCGGTCGGTCGGTCGGATGGATGGATCACTTGAGACTATATACATATGTTTTGGAGAAATTCCGAACGAAATTAATTATTTAATAATTAATTATTAATCGGTTACTCTGAGGAATATTCCAAGGGATAATCGATTGAAAAGGAATATTCCAAGGATAATCTCTGCAGGATTTATCCTAACCGACGGTTTTAATTAAGGAAGTAATTATCTTCCTTAATTAATCCGACTTATTCCCCAAGCAAGAGGGTATATTACTAGGGGTTCGGCTCCTATAAATAGCCGCCTCCCCAGCCCCTCAAAACTCACCACAACGAGCATAAACACAATAGAGAGAGTGTTCAGAGAGCTCCGGTTTTCGCACAAAACCGCGAGTACCCAGAGGAGCTGTTTTATCCTGGAGACGACCGGTTGATAGTCTGCCGTGCGCATCGAGGGCAGTGCCGCGAACGTCTTAAAGAAAGCGACCTAGTCCGCGACTCAGCTCCAGATTCGGTATCCTCATCTTGTTGTTGTTCCGTTTCTAACAATTTTAAGACGTTCGGCTGCTGCTATGTCGACTGAACAGAACAACATGGCCGGATCTGGTGCTGTCGATATCAATCGACCGTTTCGCTTCGTTGGAGTCAACTTTCGTCGCTGGAAACAAAAGATGGAGTTTTACCTGACGACCAAGAAGTTGGCACACTGCCTCACTAGCATGCCCGTCGAGCTGCCGGAAGAAGCGACCGATGAGGAGAGGACTGCTGCTGCTAAGGAAAGGGAGCATGACTTCCTATGCAAGGGCTACATCCTCAACGGCCTGGCAGACGACCTCTACGACTATTATGCGGACAGCAAGAACACCGCAATGATGGTCTGGGATGCGCTCCAAAAGAAGTACGACACGGAGGAGGCTGGAGCTAAGAAGTATGCTGTCAGCCGCTACCTGCGCTATCAGATGGTGGATGACAAGTCTGTCGAAGTTCAGTCCCACGAACTTCAGAAAATAGCTCACGAGATCATCTCTGAAGGTATGCCTCTGGACGATCAATTTCAAGTTGCTTGCATTATTGATAAGCTGCCCCCTTCGTGGAAAGATTTTAAGAATATGCTTAGACATAAAACCAAAGAATTTTCACTGGAAAGTTTGATTACTCGCCTAAGGATTGAGGAAGAGTCCCGCAAGCAGGATATGAAAGAAGAGGTGATGGTCGTCACTGCTAAACGACCCACCCCTAGAGCTCTTAAACCTAACCAGAAAGGGTTTAAGGGTAAGAACCAGCAGGTCCGCCCCCACCAGAATGGTGCCTCTCGAGGTAACCAAAGGGTCATGGCCCACACCTCTAAGAATGACCCACCGTTTATCTGCTTTAACTGCGGAAAACCGGGTCATATGGCAAAAAAGTGCAGGAACAAGCATAACCCCGCCGCTGCGGCCAGGGTTAACTTGACAGAAGAGGATTTGGTAGCCATGATCACAGATATGATCGCTGAAGTTAACCTCACCGGTGACTCAGAAGGATGGTGGCTGGATACAGGTGCATCGAAGCATGTATGCAACAATCGTGCTATGTTTAAAACATACGAAGAAGCACCTGCTGACAAGAAAGTGTTGTTGGGAACTACTCACACCACCATGGTTGCTGGTTCTGGTGAAGTGGAGCTGAACTTCACCTCTGGGAAGAAGATGGTGCTCAAAGATGTGTTGCACACTCCAGAGATAAGAAAGAATCTTGTTTCGGGATATCTTCTTAATAAGGCTGGGTTTAATCAATCTATTGGGGCAGACTTGTATACCCTTACTAAGAATGGGAGTTTTGTGGGAAAGGGATATGCATGTAATGGGATGTTCAAGTTGAATGTCGAAATTAATAAGATGAATTCTTCAGTTTACATGGTGTGTGATTTGAATGTTTGGCATGCTCGTCTTTGTCATGTGAACACACGAATTGTGAAGAATTTAAGCAAGCTAGGGCATATCCCTAAACTCTCAATGAATGAATTTGATAAATGTGATTTCTGTAGCCAAGCTAAAATAACGAAAACGCCCCATAAATCTGTGAGTAGAGAATCAGAACCCTTAGATCTGATTCATTCTGATATTTGTGAACTAGATGGGACGTTAACTAGGTCTGGCAAGAGATACTTTATCACTTTCATAGATGATTGCTCTGATTATTGCTTTGTTTATTTGATGAAAAACAAAAGTGAAGCCCTTGACATGTTCAAGGTATTTGTGGTTGAATTCGAAAATCAGTGCAATCGAAAGATAAAAAGACTTAGGAGCGATAGAGGATCAGAGTATGACTCTAATCTCTTCAAGGAATTCTATAGCTCACATGGTATCATTCATGAAACCACGGCACCATATTCACCAGAAATGAATGGTAAAGCTGAGCGGAAAAATAGGACATTTACAGAATTAGTTGTGGCTATTATGCTCAATTCTGGAGCTGCTTCTTCTTGGTGGGGTGATATTTTGTTGACGGTTTGCTATGTGCTAAATCGTCTTCCAAAAACAAATAGAAAAGAATCACCCTATGAGATTTTGAAGAATAAGCCACCTAATCTGTCCTATTTAAGAACGTGGGGCTGTTTGGCCTACGTAAGAATTCCTGATCCTAAGAGGGTTAAGTTGGCCAGTCGAGCATATGAATGTGTCTTCGTTGGCTATGCGGCCAATAGTAAGGCATATAGATTCTATGATTTGAATGCTCGTACTGTAATAGAATCCATTGATGCTGATTTCTTTGAGACACGATTTCCATTTAAAACGAGAAATAGTGGGGGTAATGTACTACCCGCTATTATAGATAACGGAACTAGTGGGGGTGTTGGATCTGAGGATGAACTCAGAAGAAGTAAAAGAGCTAGAATCTCTAAAGATTTTGGTGATGACTTTACTACAGTATACACCCTAGAGGATCCAAAAAGTTTGCAGGAAGCACTAACTTCCATAGATGCAGACTTTTGGAATGAGGCCGTTATAGATGAAATGGAATCGTTAGAGGCTAATAAGACTTGGCATCTAACAGACTTACCTCCTGGCTGCAAAGTCTTATGTAATAAATGGGTTCTAAAAACGAAACGGAAACCTGATGGTGCAATCGAAAGGTTCCGAGCTCGCCTAGTAGTCAAGGGCTACAGGCAGAGAGAGAATATAGATTTCTTCGACACCTATTCACCAGTATCTAGAATAACATCCATTCGTGTCATGATTGCTCTTGCTGCCTTGAACAATCTCGTGGTACACCAAATGGATGTTAAGACTGCTTTTTTGAACGGTGATCTAGATGAAGAAATCTATATGGAACAACCAGAAGGGTTTGTTATCCCTGAACATGCCTCGAAAGTCTGTAAGTTGGACAAATCATTATATGGTTTGAAACAGGCTCCAAAACAGTGGCATGAGAAGTTTGACACTCTCGTTCTCTCACATGGCTTTAAGGTAAATGAAAGTGACAAGTGTATTTACTGCAAGTCAGAGAATAACACTTGCACTATCATATGTTTGTATGTAGATGACATGTTGATATTTGGCACAAATATTCACGTGGTCAATGAAGCGAAAGCCATGTTAAAAGAGAGCTTTGAGGTGAAAGATCTGGGAGAAGCAAAGTTTATGCTTGGAATCCAGATAACTAGAACAGCAAATGGTTATTCTCTAGATCAATCTAGTTACATAGAGAAGATCTTGAAGAAGTATAACTATTTCGACTGTAAACCTGCGTGTACTCCGTATGATGCTAGTGTAAAGCTATTCAAGAACACTGGAGACAGTGTAAGACAAACAGAATATGCTAGCATCATTGGCAGTCTCCGTTATGCTGCGGATTACACTCGACCAGACATTGCATATGTCGTGGGATTGCTTGGCAGGTTTAACAGCTGTCCTAGTAGAGAGTGATGCGGATTGGAATAGTGATGCGGATTGGAATACCCTATCAGATGACTCCAAGGCAACCAGCGGATATGTTTTTAACATCGCTGGTGGAGCTGTGTCTTGGAAGTCAAAGAAACAAACAATCCTAGCTCAATCAACTATGGAATCAGAGATGATAGCACTAGCAACGGCTAGTGAAGAAGCAAGTTGGTTGAGAGGATTATTGTCAGAGATTCCCTTATGGGAAAGCCCGGTCCCTCCGGTATTGATACATTGTGATAGTACCGCAGCTATCGCTAAAGTCGAGAACCGGTTCTATAACGGAAAGAAACGACAGATTCATCGTAAGCACAGTACTGTTAGAGAACTCCTAACAATAGGAGCAGTGAGGGTGGATCATATAAGATCCGAACAGAATCTAGCTGATCCTTTGACGAAAGGATTACCTAGAGAGAAAGTCCAGAATACCGCCAAGGGTATGGGACTTATGCCTACCGAACCACGGACTACAAGTGATGGTAACCCGACCCAATAGACTGGAGATCCCAAGAAATGGGTTCAATGGGTAATAACAAGTCATGAGTAGTATGCGAAAAGTTCATGCATAATGAAGCATGAATCCCAAAGCAATGGAGGTTGAGTTAATAACTCTTAATGAGATCTATACCCTATGTGGGGTGGAGTACTTTACTTTGGGGGTACTCCTGATAGACTCACCTATGTGAATGTGGGAGTGGGGCCGCTCCCTATGGAACTTTGAGAGGCACAAAGTTGCTAGAGCGTTCACTAAACCAGGGTAACGTGCAAGGCCATAAACGCACGGGCTAAGAAGAGAACACAACTCAATGAAAAGATCCGGTGTGCTACACTGTCTGAGATAGGGTTCAAGACTACGAGTCACCCTTATGAAATCGGAAGTGTAACCACTACGCTAAGGTTCAAATCTTCGCGATACCTTAGCTTATGCCCGATCTTATGGAACTGTTGATGCTCAGAGATAGTTTCAAAACTATTCAAGTGGGGGATTGTTGGAAATGTGTATGAATAGCTTTGAAAGCTATAGAGTCTCAAGTGGAAAAACTACCACATTGGTAGTTTTACTTGGTGAAGTGATTATAAAGATAGGAGCCTCTCTCCTAAGGGCATGCCCCTTGGGGTGACCCACTTTTGTGGGAGAGGGAGGACCTAACGGACCACCACACACGCGCGCGCCGTCCGTCCGACCGGCCGGTCGGTCGGTCGGTCGGTTGGTTGGATGGATGGATGGATCACTTGAGACTATATACATATGTTTTGGAGAAATTCCGAACGAAATTAATTATTTAATAATTAATTATTAATCGGTTACTCTGAGGAATATTCCAACGGATAATCGATTGAAAAGGAATATTCCAAGGATAATCTCTGCAGGATTTATCCTAACCGACGGTTTTAATTAAGGAAGTAATTATCTTCCTTAATTAATCCGACTTATTCCCCAAGCAAGAGGGTATATTACTAGGGGTTCGGCTCCTATAAATAGCCGCCTCCCCAGCCCCTCAAAACTCACCACAACGAGCATAAACACAATAGAGAGAGTGTTCAGAGAGCTCCGGTTTTCGCACAAAACCGCGAGTACCCAGAGGAGCTGTTTTATCCTGGAGACGACCGGTTGATAGTCTGCCGTGCGCATCGAGGGCAGTGCCGCGAACGTCTTAAAGAAAGCGACCTAGTCCGCGACTCAGCTCCAGATTCGGTATCCTCATCTTGTTGTTGTTCCGTTTCTAACAGTAACTTGTAAGCGGTAGGTAGCAGAAAGAAAGGTAACCCGCCGGAACGGTTGAGGATTCATGACAAGCTGTGTGCAGGTTGACTCTTGAGGGTAAATACCCATATTTGGTAACTGGGATTACGAAACCGTGTTATATATAGTCACTAGAAAAAAATTAATATCAATTTTGGTCATTCGAATTACTAAAACATGTCACATTTAGTCACTCTCCTGTTAGCCTCCGTCCACCTCCAGTAGTCACTCGAATTACTTTTTTTTTCTTATGAATGTCACTCGAATTACTGAAACATGGAGTTGGACGGAAATTAACGGGAGAGTGACTAAATGTGACATGTTTCAGTAATTCGAGTGACCAATATTGATATTAATTTTGTTCCAGTGACTAAACTTGACATGATTTAGTAATCTCAGTGACCAAATGTGGCATTTACTCCTATATATTTACATACACTTTGTAAGTAAGTGATTAGATTAGTTATATTGATTGGTTTATAACATGATATTATAGTTGGTTTTTCATTCAGGTCAACTGTTCAAATTAAATCATCACCATTTTCAATCTTAATAGTTATCTTAATTAAAGCACGTGGTATGCCGAATCTGTGCAATTTTCAAGCGCATAAGATATATTTCATTTTGAGAGGGCGTGTAAGGAAAAGAATAACATTCCTACATGAACTTTTTCAAATTACTCAAATTGTTGTAACCAGTTGGCTTATGACAGTACATATCGGATATTAGCCAAATCTAATAATTTAACAACTTGCCACCACTTGCCGCGCAATGAATCGGACAACCACTAGCTGCTACATGGGCAAAATGATCACATTAGTAGCTAATGAGTTAGGGTTTGTGGAGAATATTGAAGATTATCCTAGCAATAATTACACTGATATTTAAGGATGAATATATAAAAAGCTCGGGGTCCCTCCAACATGGGGGCTGCGGCAGCCATTGCTGACAAGCTAAAAATTAACTTGAAACAATAGAGGGGGGAAATGTCCATGAAACCATGCAAGTGGGAGCAGGATTTGCCTTCTACAAGAAATTTCATTTGAGGCGAAATTTCATTTGAGGCGATTTGCCTTCTACAAAATAATAACTAGCCCTGTGTATGATCATAAATTGGTTCTCGAAATTAATGGCAATGAGGAAACACAATAGAATGCAAGAGAATATATGATATAGTTTTTTTATATATATTAGTGCTTCTTCCAACAATTTAAGTTATTAACGATTAAGATTGCAGGATGGACAACAAAATATAAATAGACTAATTGCCGGATTATGATCACCATTGTCATTATTATCACTTGTTCGGTTTCTCACGATCGGTCTCAGAATAAGGAGCTGAGGAAACATTTCATTAGAGTGAGCATAAGGTTGGGATCAGAAGCTCCATCTAGGCTTTGAAAGTCGAAATCCATTCGAGCTTCCACCCCACCATCGTCGTCGAACAATTTCAAGCCAGCCGGTGAAATGGCTTCGGCGGTTTTGCCCAATCCAGCCACGACGGTCCCTAACGCCGTAATCATCTCCGTCAGTGACGAATTAGGCCTCGACAGCTCCACAACCTTTACCTGTTTTCACATAATTCAAAACGTATAATCGGATGTGCAATCCTTCAAGTTCCATTACCAGGATTTTTTTCATTTGAAACTCAAGTTTTTTGGGCCGAATAAACCACCACAAAGAAAAAGGAGATTTTTTGTGACCAGTTTTTAGTGGTTAAAATATGTTATAGCAACCATACTGTTTCCTTTTTTGGCAACCACTTTCCTCGTCACGCGAAAACTAAGACTCTTGAAACTTGTACTGACCGGTTTGTTGTCGGGGATATTGGCCTTGTGTTTGGCAATTGCGACGGCGCGTGAGACCCCGCCGATTGCATCCACTAAACCGAAGGAAACGGCGTCGGCGCCATGCCAGATTCTGCCTTGTGCTACCTTCTCCATCTCTTCCACCTGCGCGCAGTGCTTACCGTTACTATTAATGACTATCCATATTCTGTTTAATCACTGATGAATTGCTCCTGTAATTCTATTTTAATAATTCACGTACGCTCATGGATCTAGAAAATGCTGCCTTGTCACGAAATTCCTTGTAAATATGCTTAGTAATGTTCTCTTGAAGCTCCAATTCTTCTGGCCTGCAAAACAAACGGATGAAATAGTGAGCGTCACAAGATGAGGGAAACCGTAGGGTCGATTAAACATCTGGTCATAACAGAGCTAGACGTCGGCGTATAATTATTAGTGACGGCAGTTTTTTCGTCGGTAAAAAGTTTGAGGATTGTTGAAAATCTATTTTAAATTTTAAATGCAGACAAGAGCATGGAGGATGGAAGGGAAAGGTATAAGATGGTCCATCATATCCTTATTATCTTTCCGAAAGCTCGAATTATTATATTATTGGAGTTAATTGATTCTCAATATAGTATTTAAGTCTTCAATGACGCGGAAAGGTTTTGTGTTCGAATCCTCACAGCCTCTCTGATATTAAAAATTGAGGAAACCGTTTTGTCGTCGAAAACATCTGATCATTATGCAGGTACTAGTTGTCGGTGAACTATCAATAGTGACGAACGTAGCTCTCGTCAGTAAAAATGTTGGGTAATCTTGAACATCTGTTTAAATACTCATGATGGAATATTATGGAGGATGAGAAAGAAAGATATAAGAGATCCATCATATCAATCTTTTCAAAAACTCGAATTGTTATATATATTATAACTAATTGGGTTCCCGGGGCCTATGATCACGAACGTGTTTTGTCTTCGAATTCCTATGAACAACAGCCGGTATATATTAATTAACCGTTGGCCTATAAATTGACTTTCGTTTAAAATAGCGTGGAAAAAATAATATTTATTCTAAAACCTTTCGAACCACTCTCTCTCGACTTATTAGATCCAACCCAGACAAAAAATACTTACTAATTAATTATTACCTTAGTGGTCGGTGCCCGGCTATATTAAACTCAGAATATTTGCCTTTCGATACTACGTGCTTGTGATAGCCAATTCTTCGGTGCAGTTCCGCAAGGTTAAATTTCCCTGCACGCGTAAAACTCATTACCAGAACTAGCCGATTTTATAATTAGCCTAATTAGATTGTATTAGCCTAATTACGTGCGTGCTTAATTACCTTGAACAACACCAACTGACGACGTTAGCGTTAATTTTTCTGCGACGATGGCGGTGGCTCCCATTGCTATGTAGTACCCACCGCTGGACGCCGTATCCGACATCGATGCTATTACCGGTTTCTTCGTCGCTAAAAGTCGAATCTCCCTCCATATTCTGCATCAAACCATCATATCCATGTCATATATATGAAATGGTCAAAAAAAAATTAAAAATCAAAATCATAACTAGCTTTCGAGTCTTCTGTTCCCAAATTAGATTCCTTTTTTAAGTGGAAAGGACGTACAAATCAGATGCCAGGGCATCACCGCCTGCGCTGTCGATCCTGATGACCACGGCTTTATATTTTTTGGAATCTGAAGAGATCGACCGCACGACACATCAAATTAGGCATAAAACAAGTAAATCACATGAGCCTCTACAAATTTCAAACTACGTTAGATTTCGATTGAGATAGTGTTAAAGATAGTATTACCTCTCACGAGACGAATCTGTTTAATAACGTCGGCGGGGATGATACCAGATCCAGGGAAATTCAGCAAGCTCCAGCTATTGACAATGAGGCCAGACGTTCGGATCACAGCTATTTCATCTTTGCCACCATTTAAACCCAACGTCCAGTTTTTAACCCTTGAATATTTCCTGCTCCCGATATAATACATATATCCATCGACAAGGAAATTAAAGTAATATTCGTGACACTAAAAAGAAGCTCTAGCTACCTCCTTGCTAGTTAATTAGCCAAGGTTAATGATGACTTAATGTCGATGATGATGAGAAGATGTAACCTGTAATCAACAGTAGGTAGAATCTTGTCTTCTTGGAGGCCAACTTTCTTTTTCAACAGTTCCATGACCTGTCGGGGAATCGTTATTAATAAATTAATCATAATATTTATGTCTATAAATAAGTCAAATTAATCATAATATTCAGACTATAAATAAGTTTTACTTAATTATAATCGATTAAGTATATACCTGGTCTTCGTAGAATACGTCTGTGATGAAGCCCTCCTCTTTCAGCCTCTCCATCCTGTACGCCCCTTCATTCAGGAATTCCTCTATATCTTCTCTTTTCTTCCCTGATGACGTGGTATTTGTTAATCAGGGAGAGAGAGAGAGATCGATCATGGTCACTAATGTAATAATTAGAGCTAGAACAGCCTCCAATCAGTACTATACTAATTAACTAAGTAAGTAATTATGTGTGTAGATGAGATTAGAGCGTATACAGTTTGTTACCTGTGGAGGAAGAAACTGTGGCCACCCAGTTCTCGTGTATGTTCTCGAGCAACAGGGTCAAGACTTCGAGATGTGGTTCGGCAATAGTCTTGCGCATCATTTGATCCCCTGCCTTTTTGTACTTCCCAATCCTCTGGTACACCGGTTCGATCCCCATCTTCTCCAGTACGCCTGCACCCAGAAAATGGCCAGCTTTCGATCACATTGATAGAAGGGGGAAAAGAAACAGAGACGTGCTCGCTCTTTAGCGACGGAAAGTGTAAAGCTCTAAAAAGTCGCATTACTATATCTGGCCATGAAGACTTAATATGACCACCGTCACTGTATCTTTTTAGTGACCAACTTGGTGGTGTCAAAAAGAAAAAAGAGATTACCTCTCAGGAAGACTGACGTCAAGGCAAAGCCATACAAAGAGAAGTGAGCAAATGAGGGGGCGTATAGCTCATCGCAGGCACAACCCAGGTAGTACTCTTTCTCCTTGAAGAACGACATGTACCCAACAACAAATTTGCCTGCGAAAATAATAACCCGAAGACGAAAACTTTTAGCGACGGAGACATGACTGGTTACTGAAAGAGAATAAGAGATCCTCCAAAGTTCTTTTATGCATGCATCTATTTCAGGCGGCCAACTTGATCGATTATTTTTTACGCCCCCCATAATCTTAGGAATATATACTAATTAATACCCCCTCTAATTAAAGACGTCTAGAAACGAAAAAGAGTAGATCATCATCATCATACCACTAATTACTTCGAATTTGTTTGATTAAATAAAATAAAAATAAACCTGATTTCCGGAAATCCAAAATATGGCGACGGATTTCATCCAGCTTCCCCCACCCGCACTCCAAGCCGTCGATCTTGAGATAGATTCCGGCAATGCGCGGATCGTTTGCCGCTTTCGCAAAGTTCTCGCACACTTGTGGCAGCGCCAGTTCCGTCCCCAAAAACCGACCCTTCGCAGTATCTGATATCTGAAAACCATAGCACAAATTTCTCAAAATTTATCGAGGATGGGCATTGGTTGATTTTGATCCAGAACTAGATCAAATTGAGATAGGACCGGATAAAAAAGCAAAAAGGAAAATGAGGATCAGAACCGGACTAGAAACATGTTAATTTGGTTCACGAACAAGGGATTGGTCTAGTGGTAATACTACTAGCCTTGACCTGGAGGTCCCAGGTTCGAATCCCTTCAGTAGTATCTAATTACAAAATATAACCTATATCACCCTTATCTAAAAAAACATGTTAATTTGGTTCATTTGATTCAATTCGGTCCGGTCCAAATTTAATTTAGGTTATTTTTTCTTCGTATTAAAATAATTTATAGGACCAAAACTGAATCAAAATATATTCAATCCGATCATATTCGGTCCAAATATCAATTCGGTACGATTCGATTTTGTGTGAACCGAATCATTGTCCACAGCAGCAGTAGAATTTAGTGAGAAGCATTTGCTTATCAAGCTACTTTAAGATTTACAACAGTTCTTGTGCAAAGATTGAGTTCTTCTGAAGGCACACAGTAATTAACTAAAAGTAAACAAGATTTTAAGCAAACTAAGGAATTTATTGTAACACACAAACCTCGCCGCGCAAGTGCATGCACAGGACGCTGCCGTGCGCAACACGCTGCCAGGGGGGAACAATGAGCATGCGAAGCTTGAGGAGGAAGCCATCCCACCTCCCCAACTTCTTCCTCACTTCAAACGCGCTGCCGTCAGCAGGATACTCCTCCGCCGCAGCTTTCCTAAACCTCACGGCGGGGCTTCCGCTTTCCGACGACTCCTCCGCCACTTCCGGTGGGTCCCGAACCGCCGAGTCAACGCTCATTCTTCTGTACGACTTGACGGAAGGGGTAAAGAGACGGCGAGGCGTGGCAACGGCGGATAGGGGGAGGCGGAGGAGGAGTGGGGCGGAGGTGCGGCGGCGGCGGCAGAGGATCGTGGAAGTGGTGGAACAGCAGTTGTTGTTATTTAAATGATTAGGAGGAAGAGGAGGAGGAGGAGAAGGAGAAGGATTGAGGGCGATCTGTAGCTGCGCCATTTTTCTATCGGAGTTTTGATGGGGGCTTCTCTTGTTGTTTTGTGTGGTGTAGTGAAGTTGATGGGCTCTGTTTTTTCGATATTTATTTACTGCTAAGTGCTGTTGTTAATTTATAATATCCTTTTTTTCGGTGTTATTAAAGTCGAGCCGAGCCGAGCCGAGCGACCGATAAAACCGCCACCCGGTCACAAAACCGGCTCGGAAGAGTCTAAAAGCCGCTCCGGTTTTATGTAGCGGTTGTCGAGCGGCCGAGGCGGTTAACCGTTCGAGCCGATCGAGCCGCTCGTCCGGTTTTTGCCATTCAGCCACTAAATTTAATTAAAACAATTGTAGAAAATTGAAAATTGAAATAAACCAAAAACGTCGGGTTCTCAAATTGAATCCTTATTTTCATTTCACAATTTCGAATGAAAGAGATGAGCTATGATTAAGAAATGTCCACTATTTATACTGATAAAGTTTATTAGCTAGGTACCGGTTCTCTAACAGTTTTTAAACGATCTAATGCCGGTTGGACCACTAAAGTGCGAACCGTTCGCATTACCGGGTCATGCTCCGGTTCGGTTCTGACAACATTGCTTTTTTTTTATTTACAAACTTTACTGACAAGCAAAACTATGATGAAAAAATCTTATAATAAACCTCCAGAACGTGGTCACAAAAAAGGTTGTAATTAACCCACTTGTAGCAATATGATGAAAATGCTGTTAACCTCCCCTTTTAGGCTAAGCCCTACTTAATTAGCCACCGCAACTACCTTTTCTATCGTTATGGTCTAACAACCACCTCTTGCTTTCTAGACCAAACGTTGGTGACCTTCTAATGGTGAAAATATTGGTTCCTGAGAGTGACATCTCTGTCTCGAAGTGATATGGTTGAGTTGTTGGTTTGTGAGAGTGACATATGTAGCTCGAATTAAATTTATCGACGTAATTGCAATGAAGATATGATATTTTTAATTAATCTCGATTTTTTTCTTAAAAAAAATTTTAGCGAATAACATTTTCTGTAATTTCTATAATTTTGTATGTTCTTATTATTGCCCTTTTTATTTTATTTTTTTGTTGCTTTTTTATTGGATTAGTCTAAGTAATCAAGGTGTCTCTCAAGATCTAATGTCAATAATCGCGGTCTCTTCGGGACTCACAGGAGGAGGATCAGTCAACAATTGAAAAACGTACGGAATTGATGGAGCACCGAGAGTTTTCGAAAGAACATGTTAAAATTAGCAATAATAATTTGGTCCAATCGGTATCATCTAATTAAGCTCGAGGCTCACTCATTTGATCAGCATATGAGAGTCCATCCCATTTAATCTCGAGCCTCAAATTTTTTTTTATTTTTTATCATTATATCTTTAGTACAACTTTTCAGTTTTCACCGCTGTGTAATGAATCAAGCCCAATCGGAAAGCAGACAATTCTGAATCGAAAAGGAGCCCAAGATGGGGCAGGATCCGGCCCAATCAGGGCCCACTGTGAAAGCCTCTTCATCGGGTCCACAAACTTTGCAAAGTTGTAAGTTCTTTTTTCCTCTTTTCTTTCATAAACAGCCCATCACAGCACAGGGCGTCTTTGTCCGAGTCGTCTCTCCGCTGGAAAAGAAGAAAGCCAAACTCAGAGATTGCTCGTCTCCCTCCTGTCGCAGTAAGAGTCGGAGAAACTGCTTTCGCCGCCGGCTAGATCTCAATTGGACCCGAGATCCATGGTAATGTTGATTCCTCCCCTTTTAATTTGTTTGCTCTCCTCTTTTCCATCGTTGTTGTCATCGGCCTCTCCTTTTTCTCTCCCGCGCTTTCGCTCCTGATCGGGAGACGGGCATGGGTGCATAGCCATATCCTCGACTGACATTCCACCTACAAGAGTTTCTTTGACTATCTTATGGAATTGGGTTTGATTAACTTCCACAGAATTGAACTCAGCACGATAATGTGTTTTCCTCGAGTTTGGTGTTGTTGATGCCGAATTGCGGCTGGAACTTTGTGGTTTGTGATTTAGACTTTAGTAAGCCGAGCTCGTGAAGCTCTGTGTGTATGTAGATGTAGCTTTCGTAAAGCGTTAATGGGGTCTGGTTGCAGATTTGGTTAAACCTCTTCCTTTGGATTGTTCGTGTAGGTTCTACTACAGCCGGACCCGTTTCTTAATGAGCTCACAAGCATGTTTGAGCACAGCACGGAGAAAGGTTCGGTTTGGGTCACTCTCAAACGATGTAAGTGGATAGCAATCTCGTCAACTGCTAGCTTGTGGCGGTGTAATGTTCTATGTTTGTAGATGGTTTTGGAAAAATTAAGGGTGTTGACTGGGGTACTTGTTGTTTTTGTAATTTGAAGCATCCTTGAAGTCTAAGGTGCAGAGGAATAAGATGAAAACTGCTGGTGAACCTCTTGACTACCGGTGCCTCATTCGTGCAACCAATGGGAAGAAGACAATCTCTACTTCGGTAAGCAACTTCCTTCCATGAACCGTCACTTAAACTTGTGTAGTTATCATGGCAAGTGTTTAGCTTGGTTGACCAGGCAATCAATTGCTGTCTTTTGAAACAGTATTTGTCCATCACAATCTAAATCTTGATGCTTTATGTGAAAGCCAATAGATTCATAGTAACTTCGGCACTACAGCCAGATTTCATCTTGTTTTGCCTGTATATGGTGTTGTACTGGACCTGTGTAACATCAAATGAGTTACATGCTCATCAGCATAAGAGATTCGACACTTAGATTTCTGGACATTGTGTCTGGTACTCTGGCTTGTTCGTTCGGAAAGGAGCTATATCAAGCTTGGCTCTGTTGTCTGTTTGCCCCTTCCCTGAAATATAATGCTATAATGTTGAACTAGTTCCGCTGACATGGTTTAGTCCAAAATTCTTCACTTAGATGAGATGATATTGTCCGAGTTATGAATATGTTTACAATAGGTTCTTGAACCTACCTACCTACAACTGGTTCTAGCTAAAAGTGTTGTCTGCTTTAGAATGGATTGGAGAGATCAGGAGGGCGTGTAAATATTTGCCAATAAGACCAATGTGTGACCCAGATGCTGCAATTAATAGAAAAGGTCTGCTGAGAACTAGCCAGGGGAGCATGCATTTAGCTTAACTATGTTCGTGCATTGGTTGTATTGGCTCCCGAGGCTTTTTCCCTTTCTTTACAAACGGCTGTATTTGAGCAGGTTGGGGCAAAGGATCACCAGAAGTTTCAAGCATCTTATGCAACAATCCTCAAGGCTCACATGACAGCTCTGAAGAAGAGGGAAAGGAAGGACAAGAAGAAAGCTGCAGATGCAACAACGAATAAGAAAGACGGGGAGAGCTCAAAGAAGAGACCTAAGAAGGTGTGATGATGTTTTAGCCTGTAAAATCCCAATTATCAAAATATGTAGTTTGCGTCTTTCTTTTTACAAGGAGCAGAGGGGTTGATAGGACTTTGAGGGAAGTAGTACAGAATTGAGAATTGTCCATTTTGTTTCGCGCAATCAAGATTGCTGTCATGTTTTTTGTTTTGGATTGAATGCCATTTTTGTGCCGCCACTTGAGGTATCAAAACGATAATGACTTTGAAGATGTTTTCTATTGGACTTGATCCTCGGAGTATAATGCCTTATTACCGATCATCTTTATCAGCAGGATATCCAAATTTGACGACTAAACACAAAGTCGACTTGTTTTCTGTATCATTTCGATATCATCAACCCTTCAAAATCCTCACAAATCGAGCCATGCTACTATAATTAGTGGTAATCGAGTCTGCTAAGGACAGATGATAATCAATGAGGTGAACAGAATCCTCTTTCCTCAATTTTCTTGTTCTCCGCCCTTGCGTGCAGAAGTTTACTTTGGACGTTGCCAACACTAAACTTGTATTAGAGGGTCATTATCTTAATTAATCTCCATCTTTCTCATTTGATTAAACACCGTTCTCACTGGCTTCCTTGTTTAGGCGGAGTGTCTCATGTGCAGCCAGCCTAAGTGCGACACAAATTGGTAGTGGTAGCTTTCAGCTGGGTTGTGTTCACTTTTAACAATCGAAATTGATGCAAGTAGTACGGCTGTAAGTCTCATATTTGAATCTCTCAAATAGCATCTTATAATGAAAAACAAACTTATATCATCGTTCTCTAAAAAATGAAGAAAACATATACAATGAACAACTTTTTATGGTGAACTAATAAATACAATATAGCCTGCCTTCTCAGTTTATTTGGTTGTCAATGAAATGACAACCCAAAAAAGAAAGTTGAGAAACCAAATCATGTTCTCATGAATGATTTCAAAACAAATAACAACAGGTGGATTCGGCGCACAATCGTACCGATAGTTATTGAAAGGTTATTCACCGGTTTTCGAGTATAACATTTGAACATAGAAGAAAATTTTCTTAAGTGAAACGTTTTATACTATTGATCTTGTTATCTTTTAGTTCTTTAATATGTTCACTTAAATGTGATGATTCTCGCTTCTTAATGCACAAATAGGTAGAAGAATCCAATCCTCGATAGTGGGGAAGCAATTTAAAATATCTAGAGATGGTTCTTCGATCTGTCATGTTATATTTTACTCGACCCAGTTTGTATTAGGGACGGGTTTTACCTGACTCGCACTAAAATGGAACGGTTCTTCAATAATTTAACAATACTAAAGATGAGCATGACAAATCAAACTTGCATCGTGCAAGTGGGGCCGAAAATCAAACACTAATATTTGTCGCAAAACATAGAACATAATTGGACTAAATCAAATTATGAAACAAAATACGAGTATGAGCATACCCGTCCATTCTGACGTGTTTCCATTCCTACATCAAGTACATTCACATTGTACATTTCTATCAATTTTTTTATAATTTATCAACTCTCAAATTCTAATACACATAATTTTCCAACTATTTATTGCCATACCTAAATTAATTATAGAATAAAATTTTATTATTATTGTTATTATAAAATTATAGCGCTGAGGGTTTTCTCTTTTATTAACTTCCATTTCCCCCAAATCAGTCCCAATTCCCCTTCCAATCGTCAGTTTCAGTCCACCTGTTTTCTCAATGTCTCAACCCACCGCCGCCGCCGCCTCCTCCAGCACCGCCACCGCCATCCCCATCCCCGCCGCCGACGGATACAAAATCCACAAACCGTACAACGCCAAAGCCCAAGCCCGCGACTGCTGCAACTGCATCTTCTTCCTCATCTTCGCCCTCGCCCTCGCCTGCGCCGTCCCCGCCGTCACCCGCGCCCTCATCTACCTCCAGCCCGCCCTCCCCGCCGTCGCCGTCATCTCCTCCGCCGTCACCGTCAGAAACGTCTCCGACAGCCTCATCACCGCCAGCTGGGACGTCACCTTCACCCTCTCCAACCCCAACGACAGGGGATTCTTCTACGAGCGCCTCGTCGCCTACGCCGCCGGAGGCGGCGGCGCCGCCGGCGGCCACCGCATCGCCAACGTCACCCTCCCGCCGTTCCGCCAGGCCGGACGCGCCGCCGCCACGCTCTCCGCCTCGTTCCCGTCCTTGAAATTCGTGGTGAACGACTGCGCGGCGAACCGGACGATCCTCCGGCCGTGCGCGCCGGCGCCGCTGAGCCTGCAGGTGGAGCCGGCGGCGGTGTACGAGCGGTGGACTTGGCCGTGGAAGGGGGACGTGGTCGTGGCGGAGTGTGACGTCAAGGAGGTGGCGTTCCGGCCGCGTGTGACGAAATTGGAGCTGGGTCCGGCGAGCTGCCGCTCCGACGGGCGGTGGCGGCGGTTGGAGGTGAAGTGCCGGACCATATTCTGGAATTATGTCTACGTTGCGGGGATGTGTCTTGCGATTTTGGCGTTTTCGCTTTAGGCGGTTGAGTTTTAATTATCTCTCTTTTGGGAAAGTTATTTTCTTCTTAATTTCTGGGTTTTTTTTTTTGTGCTAGCTAGCTTAGTAGAGAGCATAAATATTCGTCTGTAAATATGGCGAAATTGATACATTTCGATTAATGAAAGAGCAGTTACCATGTACAATTAAGGTTGTCATTATCATGAATTAATCGCGTTTTTATCTTTTGATATGATCACTAGAACAAACGATTCTTCCGTAGAGATTTTATTCCGACTAATTTGCTTTCAAATATAATTAGCCACTATCTTCTTTTTATTTCTTTCTTTGCGACAATAAGTACCCACTAAACTAATTTAATTTCGTGCGTTTCTGATAGATAAGTGAATTGTTACTTCCGGTTTTTACGGCCACCACTCTGTCCAGTTTCGTGTTCGTGGAGAACATGGGGGGATGATGAGGGGTTAAGGGATAATCTTTCCCGCCATATTTCGTAATTATCGGGCGTAGAGTGATTGTGTTAGTTTGGAAAACTAATTAGGAAAAGACCCGCATGCATAATATAGAGCAATTATCATTACTCTGCAATAATCCAGGGAGACCTTACATGCATGATGTATGGAGCAATGCTGGTATAATAGTCAAGACTCAAGGACATAATCCAGATTTTTTACCCTTCCATTAATCTAAAATATTTCGTAGTTTAAAATCAAAGTGGAATTTGTTGATGACGTTGATTAGAACAATTAGAGATTTTTTTTCCCCTAAACTAGAAATTTATGATTCCTTCAAAGAAAAGTTTAGATATTTTTCCAGAGAGATGGGTGATTATCAGCACAGGCCAATATCGTTTGGATTGTCTGTTTGTGTCTTTTCAGTTACTGGATTGAGTGTAACGAGATTTTTACAAGTGATGTCTCCATCTCGTTGATTGAGCTAATGAGAACACATAAAGTAAGTAAATCGACATACATTAGTGCATGTTGAATATTGTCAATCTAACATAACATAATAGGGCGATTATATCAGGTAGAAAACCAAATAATTATGAGTTATGACGAGCATGTGAAATGGAAGAATAGGGATTCGCTTAATTAATTAGGCTTGGTCTGCTATGTATGTTTACCCTTGTTTTAATCCAACACAATTGGAATTTTGGAGCTTAGGTCCTTCATATATACTGCAGGCCTGCTTCAAGAAGACTATAGTAATTTGACAATTTAATACAACCTAATTTGGGGCTTTCTTGGGACAATTAACCGTTCAATCCCAAGCTAATAACTAATTAATTAGTTGGCTGGTTCTTTTCCTAAGCTAAATCCGAGGCCGTCTTTACATCTTCACACCTTCATTAGTTTCATATCCAAGGTTGTTCCCGTCGCTAAAAAGTAATCAATTACTATATTAATTAATTAATTAATTAATTCCACAGTACTGTGCCCTCTGTGGAGCTTGCATGCCATTTGCGTTACGTTGATGGAGAAGCGATCGAAAGGAGCTTTCCTCTTTTTTTCTGTTTTTCCTTTTGGCCTGTTGCTCGTGCTGACTTAGTGACTTCCCTCCCGCAACAAAGTGACAACCCAGCAGCAAGTTTCTGCTTCTAATTTCGACCTCAAAGTGACTGCTAACTACGCTCTCACCTTTATTTTATGCCATCTGACAGAAAAGTTTTGTAACTATATACCATTTGGTCGGTTCTTGTACATAATTCGTGTCCCCAATGCCAAAACAAAGGGTCTCATTTTTCGTGTCTGGTTTTGTTAGCAATCTCTTTTACCATTATGAAAGTATACAGGTAGTATACATTTATCTGCGTTCAGGGAAATTCGGTAACATTGGAACAAATACAAAGAAAATTAGCATGATCCCTGCGTAGATAGTATGCACATTTGGATCTAATAACATTAATATGTATCGCTAGCTACGCCGACCCTTGATTGCTTCTAACAACCTTGAATAACGACCTATCTAAGACTTGTACGATCTACCTCGTGTAGTGCAAAGTAGCGCATAACACATAACTAAGTTGATTATGCTCTCGGTTGGGCAAAGTATGTCAAATTGGCAATATTTCGATGCAAAGATATTTGAGAAAATTCTTGTAACAAATGTACTTGTTGTCTGTTGAGTTCTTGTTACATGATTATCAGTTATCACAAACAAAACAAGTTTTTTTTTTTTTTTTGCCATTCAACCGATCTCAAACGAGATGGAGATAAGATCAACACACCGTCAATTACAAAATACGTAACCAAGACACATAGTCGAACCTCGACAGGACCCGAAGCGACAAACTCAGGGACTTTTTGGCCACAAACAAAACAAGTTATTGTTCATTATTATAGAATAGGCCGGAATTGCATGGGCTGGTTGTGCTAATAAATGATAATCATGTAAATGACAGCAGCCCATGGACTTAGCCCAGGACGGCCCAATATTTCCATGTCCATTTATCCACGGCCAGCAAAGACCCAGCCATCTAGGCTCTTAACCGAGCCCACCCTCAACCCAACTCTGAATCATCTGCAACGCGGCCCGCGGCTGGTCCATCGGAACCATATGACCCGCGTCGTAAACCTTGAGCAACGCCAAGGGCCCATAGCTCTTCAGCTCCCCTGCTTTCCTTCCTCCCAATACAAACGGCACCGTTTGAGCCGCATCGAACCCCGGCTGGCCCGACCAGTTCAGGGCATTGACCCACTCGGAGTTCCCGGCCCAATTGCATATCAGATCGTACTCTCCGACGTAGATTAGCGCCCTGATCCCGCTCTGGAGGAGCTCCGGGATGCCGAGTTTCAGGTCCGCCAGCCAGTCCCCTCTCATTGCGCCGTAGACCGTGAGGTTGCAGTAGACGAAGTCGTAGTCCGGCGCCACGCCGATGGCCGCCCTGACTTTTGGGTCGGTCAGGAATTGATCCATTCTGGTCCGGTCCAGGCAGATGTGGTCGGCGCAGTGCTTTCTGATGTCGAACCACTGCAGGGCAGAAATTTCACAGGGAAACTTCTAACTCATTTTTATCAATAAAAAATTGATAATATAGGGTAGGGTTGGGAAACAATGCATACGAACTATGAATTATGATCCATACCAAGAAGTTGAAGTATAAATTAGGGATTAGACCAAATACTATATCGTTCAGACCAGATTACGCATACATGGTATGATCGGGTAAGGTCTTATCATGGTAGATCACGTTAAATGACAAATAATAGTTTTGTTTAGTCAACCACACGAAAAAAATCAAATCAATAACCAATAATTTTCTCCCCTTAAAACATAAATGTCAACACACATGCATAATTTTGATACAACAAATCCTATTAAATAAAGAAAAACACAAAGTTGAAGCAGTCCAACTTACACTATTATATCATAAATGTCAACATAATATGATATAGAGAAACAATTGTCTCTAGTATATGACTGGAGTGTGGTTTATGAACGAAGGAGGAGGCAAGATTCGCAAAAATTAGGGTTGAAATTTTTATCTCGTTAATTAATTGAGAGAGTGGCATGGTACATGAAACTTGTACTGTATCGGCTGTTCAACCACAAAATATCACTATCAGAGGATAAACCTATATGTGGTATTTAACGGTACTAACGACTGAACTACGGTTAAATCACGATTTGCCGTAAAATACCCTAACGCTGACTTTTCGGTAAGGTATTATGGATCATGAAGAGTGGCCAAATGAGATGCTAACACAAATTGGGAAGTGGGTTGGATCTGTAGATTGATCCAGTAAACCACGGTCTGAACTATACCAGACCAAAAAATCAATACATCCCATAATAATACCAATCATGAACCACATGAGATCATTCGTAACGATCTACGCACCAAACTATTCGATCTTATTTGGTTTACGATTTTTTTTAAGCGTCTGATCTATTTTCTCAAAAATAATCAATGTGACCAAGTTAGCTAGTTACTTACGCTGGTATTGCCGATTATCTTGGTCACGGCGTTGAAAACGTTCATACAAGTCGCGAATCCGTCCGTGCAAGCAGCGCCGCCTTGAGAACCTGCTTCATTCAAAGAGTGATACTATTACCTGCTACCACCGGAAAAATAAAATTGATTGAGGTGGCGAGGTTTTCAAATTACCGCAATTTGTTACCGCGGTCAAACATGGGGGAACCAGCTGGCTGGCGATGGAATCATGATCGGACTGCGAGATCAGTTTTGACGACAGTGCGAAATCTGGGTAGGATTTGAACTGGACGGCGGGATCGGTGATCCCGTTGCCGATGGCGAACCCCTTCAAGTTTATACGAATTATTTCCTCGCCGGCGTTGGTGTTGGCTTTGAAAATGCGGGAAGCCAGGGCAGGGACGTAGTGGCCGGCGTACGATTCTCCGGTGATGTAGAAGTCGCGCTTCGCATGTTCAGCATGGTCTTTGAAAAACAGCTAAATATTATATAAATAATGGTAAGTTTAGGTTTATCTGTTTAAATGTATAATTTGAAGTTGTATCATAATTTAAATGTATAAGTTTAGGTTGTATCATAAAAAAATTTGTACCGTTATGTAATGGTATAACTTGAAGTTGTACCGCATATAAATGTACAAGTTAAAGTTGTACAATAAAAAAATTTATAAAAAAAATATAGGTACAATTTGAAATTATACCATAACGTTAATGTAAAACTTCAAGTTGTACCCATTGTAAAATTCTAAAAGGAGTGATAACGTAATTGTTGAAGATGTGTACGGACGGACCTGCAAGAAGGTGTACAAGTCGTCGGTAACGCCGGCTTCGTCGTGGCGGGTGTCGCCGGGATCGGTGGAGTAACTGAATCCGGTGCCGGTTGGCTGGTCCACGTAAATAATGTTGAACACCTGCTGGGAAGTATAAATGGTCTGTTAAATATGAATATGGGATCCATGTATATGCTTGTTCTTGGTTCTTTTGGTATTTAATTTCCTTGCTTTCACACGTAAAAATTGGAATAAATCTTAATTAGTTATGTAATTTACTGAAATGACAAAAAAAAAAAAAACACAAATTTTACTGGTAAATATCAATCAACAACCAGTAAGTACTTTGACTGGATATTCACACCATATGAGAGTGGGCAAATATAAGAGAAATTCCAAATATGTGATCATGGATTAATTTTTAAGAACCCAATATTGGTGCATGCAATGAATTGGGACAAAAATTTGTATTTATGGGCTTGGAGTTTACAGAGAAAACGTCGAACGTCATTGTGCATTAATCAACTGTTGATGATATCTGAAACGAGAATTCGAGTATAGAAGACCTCCTGACTATCACAAATCCTGGTAGTTTGGTTTCATATTAAAAACCATAATTCTTAATTACGAGAAATTGCATATATAGTGGATGTCATATATAATTTCCATGAGTTGGTTGGTTTATTCAACATATATACCTGGTCCCAACCATATGCGTTCCAGGCAAGGGTGAGATCTGGATTAAGGCGTACAGGGCCATTATCATAGAACAGTGATATTTCACCGGAACATCCTGGTCCTCCATTCAGCCATATTGCTACCGGAGCGTTCGGATTATTCCCCCTCGTCGGAAAGAAAAAATAGAACATCCTGAAAATCATGGAAGAAAACAATCAAACGGTGGGACTTCTTATCACGGACATTTAGCTACTTACCTGGTTGCTTTAGTGTTGGGAAGGGAGTAATATCCAGCATAATGACCAAACTGCTGAAGAGAAGGGCCTGGAGTAATGTTCAAGAGAGAGATAGTCGAATTGATTTGCTTCTCTAAACCTCTTACTCTTAAAGCGATTGAGAAGCATGAAGAACAAGAAAGAAACGTGAGAAGAAGAGAAAAGAACCAAGTTGAAGAAGTATTCATTGTTGTTGGTTGATGTGGGTTCATGGAATGGAATCACAAAGAATAGAGTTGAGTTTATATATCTAAGGTGTAGCTCAACCTTTCCAATGGTTGTGCTGCAGTTCTTTATTTATGTCGTCAATTCAATGGATTTGAGTAAATTTCTCCAACAAAATTGAGATAAAAAGGAAACGAATTGAAAGAATTATGATCATGCCTTCATTGAACTTGGTAACTTATTATTGTCAAAAAAAAAATGGTAACTTATTACTGTTAAAAAAAAATTGCTAACTTATCTAGTTTTAAAAATTCGTGATGAAAAACATATTTTTATTTTAAAGTATGTAGGTCAATTTTGAAAAGATAACAGCATGGCAATGTACAAAAATTTATTATTTCGTAATAGGTAATGTCCAATTTATTTTATTTACTTGCGTAATTTTTATTTGTTTAATTTAATTTGAATTCGAAGGATATAATTATCAGGTGCAATGAATTCTCTCCTACTAATGATGTAGTTTGATTAAGGGTTCAGTACTAATCATCTACTAGTATTCTCAGGTGTATATCAGGGTGCGTGAGATCAAAGAAGAGTCAACAATGATCGAAATCGACACCATTTGATATATTGAAATTCTTACAATTAAGAGTTGATATGATCATAGTATTCTTCAACATTTCTTTGGCACATTTCAATTCATATGATTTTTATAAATTTTTGTTTTATAAAGCAGAGTTAAAATGAATGAGATATAGTTTGTTGAATTTGCAAGAAATTGAAAAACTCTTAACTATAGCTATTGATATTTGTCCCAACAGTAACTAAAGGAGGTTATGCATCAAAATCTCAACTCTTTTTTACATGAGATGTTTGGAAATAGAGCTGAAGCACTGTTTTGTCAATTATATGATTTTTCATTCGGAATATTTTTTGAGGCATATAATCAGTAAATAAAGTAATCAATTTTGTAGCTACTGCTTTCAAACTGCGAAATATTTGGTGAAGGCTTCATTTCACCTCTAGCTAAACATGTCTTGTTAATTAATGTTGATTTCTTTAAGAATTATAGATTTCTCTCTTATTTAATGTGAAATTTGTCTAGATTTGTCATGTAGTTTTTGTTTTAATATTCGCTTGAGAACACATTTTTAGAAGTTCTTTTTTTTTGTGAAGACCAATTTATTTATGTGAAGATCAAAATATGAAATACCATGCAAAAAGCCCAAACTCAGGCAATTATGGTACCTGACGTCATTATAATATCTTAGAGCAAATTAAATGTGAAGTAGAAGGACACAAATCATAATTAAATAAAAAAAGAGAAGTAGAATGACACATATAACCTTCCTTCAAATGCGCACAGGCCCTCCTTTTCCAGTTTAACCCCATCCTCCGGTGGAATGTCTATATATTAGTGTGTAGAGATAGATAGATCTACACAAACATATAAGGCAATGTCAATAAACAAGTATTGCCACATCAGCCGATGGTGTTTAAACCGCATAAGTCGGAGGGACTAATTAGTCTTCTCCTCTCCCTGCCTTCTCGCTAAAATCGTCCGCAGCGGTTACTTTTTTTCCCCTTAACATCTTACAATCCCACCAATTAATTTTCTCCATTTCTACAAGGCCACGACCACTATTCCATATCTTATACTAAAAACAAATCACTAATTTTGTGGAATTTCAATCTTTCTTTTAAAGCCACCTGGACACTAAATTTATTATTTCCCTTTTGTTGTAGGTTTCCTCCTTTTAATTTATTTTGCTCTTATGATCACTAATATTTTCATAATATGAAAGTGGTATGATCACTAATATTTTTGCCCAAAATGTAGCAAAATGAATATCATTGTGTCTATCATAATTAATGCATTCTTTATATGTAAATTTTTTAAAATTTTTTTTGAGTTAAAACAAAAGAGATATGACTCAATTATAAAAAATGGAAGATTAGAAAAATTTGCATTTGATTGGTAAAAAATCTTTCCCATGTTTTCTAAATTCGCGTTAGTCAAAGAAAAGAAAGTGGGGCACGAAACTAACAGTCCATCCATCTTATTTTTATATGAGTTGTGGGCCGTTATGTGGGATTTTAATAGGTGGTTACATATTAAAGTTCTATAGGTATTGTAGAATGGAGTTTCGTATCATATTCTTATCCTTTCCAACAACAAGTTTATAGAAATTGGGTTTTCGATAGAGCAATAAAAATTTGGATTTTAATAATAACATTGTTTGGAGAATATGAGTTTAAATCTACAGATTGTCAACAATCTAAAGATTCTAACTCTTTGGATTGTTGAAAACAGATTTTAAAATGTTTATTGTTTGGTAACTGTGATTGTTAACATTCAATTAAAATAAAAAATTATTTTATATTAAATAACATGTTTATCCTTAATAAAAAATTAGAGTGGTTTAAAAAATATTAAAAACTTTGTTGATAAATATATTTCATTTGATAAATAAATAAAAGTAAGAGAAAAACTAGGAGAAAAAAAAATCTTACGAATCAAGATTTAGAATCTCTCTGATTAGGAGAGATTTAATATCCACAGATTTTAGAGATTTGAAATCTCTAAAGCTAGAATCTACAATATAAAAAGCAACAAAAAAACATAACTTTCTACAAAATCTATGGATTCAGTGAATCCATGTCCTGAATCCTGTTCTCCAAACGACCCCTAAGTTCTTTTACATAAAAAAAAAATAAGAAGAAGAAATTCGTTAAAGAAAGAAAGAGACGGAGACAAAAATAAACTATTGATTAAGGGGCGTATATTATGGGCACACAAATAATTAATTCATCAATGGATTTGAAAGTCGAAACTAATTCTTTTTATTTAATTATAGAAACTAATTAACATGAATATCCTTTTAACTTTAGCCTATATGAAATTGTTTATTTCCTCATTAACTTCATATATTAAGTAAAATCATATTATTTTTATCTTCAAAGTCCCACTTAGTTTAATACAAGGTATCTTATAATTTTAAGATGGAGCTTAAAATTTTTATTAATTTAATATGTAGTTTTGTCTCTAGATATCTTTACTAAATTTTCCAATTATAACAATTTTCAAAAAATTTAATATTTTCTAACGAAAACTAAGAGATTTAGACACTCATCCACGGTTTAGAATTTTTATAAAATAAAATATTAATTCACAAAAAAACTACCCGGCCAATCGGCCGGGCCACAATCTAGTAGATGTAGATGTAGATAGATAGATAGATAGATAGATAGGAAAGAAAGAAACCGGCGGGAAACCTTGTAACCGGCGGGAAACCTTGTGGGTCTCTTAATTTCTTTTCTGCACTTTGATTGGCGCTTCACCTCCCTTATCCGCATAGAGCAACGTAATTGGAGCGGCACGAGAAATCACCTAAACTAAAACAGAAAAAGAAAGAGAGCTCTGGAGAATAGAGCCCGCTACTGGAGGTAGAGCACTAGAGCCGCTCCCTCCTTGTTCTTTGTTCTTCTATTGACAACGCGTTGCGCTAATCTCATAATCCGTTTTGTTTTTTCTGGTGTATCAGGATACCGCTCTTTGTTGTTGCAAGCCTCCTGCCAAGAAAAGGTAAACATCTAGTAAGTTAGTGGATATCGCTTCTCCGAACCATAACATCCACCCATTGTTTCTCTTCTGATAACGCAGTTCCTAAGTTTTGCTTGCTAGTGAAAGTTGAATGATCAAAACCTGTTCCCAGTTCCCCTGTTTGGTTGATGATCAATACTAGATATATTTTCTTTCTCCGTTGAGAGCTGAGTCTAGCCTTTTGGGATTTGACGTGCTTGAGGAGAAGAATGTGGACTTATCGAATAAGATAGAGGAAGGGTTTTGGACCAATTAAATGAACTGCTGGGGATTCTGTCAATTACAGATAATTGGATGTACGAACTGATTAATGCTTTTGCTGTATCTCTCGGGTCCCAGAAAATTGATTGTTTATATGGATGGGTTGCATGTCTTGGTGAAATCAAGTGCTGAAGATTGTCGAGATCTAAAGAAGCGATGGAAGCCATTAGAGAGAGTGGAAGACATTCTTGATAAATCCGATTGTGTGTGCTGTCTTTGATTATTACATGGGGCAGGCAGAGTTTCTTTTGCAGTATTCATTTCCTTGGGAGAAAGTGGAGATGGTATCTGGAAGTTGTCCCCGCTTATATACGGAGTGCATAAACTTCATCTTAAGCTTCTTATTGATTTGCTTGGATTTGTGCTCAGGGATCTCATTAATTATTGCCTCAACATCTTCTACGTAAGTCCAAGGTATATATGTATGGTACATGTCTTATTTTATCATCACTTCACTTCACTTCACTTCTACCTCATAGGTATGAAGTTGCTGACTTATCCTCGCACTAATTAACAGTTGTAACCCTTACCACACAAGTCAGCTTCTTAGAGGAGATAAAGAAGGAACTTGAAGATCCCAGTACAAGGTAACCCTTAGATTCTTAGCTCAAGTATCTCCAGTGAATTGATTGTCTTAATCAGGTCATCTATCCAACCTGCATGTATAGATGCATACACTGTCAAGTAGGGGAATGGGTTTTATCATTTAGCATCTAATTTCGTGAATCTATTCCCTACGGTCAGTGTGACCTTTTCTGGACCTTGTGATGAATGCAATGCATGCTTTGATCTCTGTACTCTAGTGCTAGGTTACAGAACTGTCCAGCCCTGAAGTCCAAAGAGGAATGCTACATATTTGCATTTGAATCTTATATATATTATGCAATGGATAGGTTGTGTGTAGTTTAGGCTTGTGGCAGTGGCATCTCTCATATGTGTTGTAAAGTTTTCATGCACCGCAATTGCTCCGTATAATATAGCTATCAATGCTGCACTTTTTATACATTATTATTATTAGTCATTGAGATTCCAGTTTTTGACTTGCGAACATGATTCTAAATTTGTAGGCCTGTGAGAACAATGGATAGAAGTTGGATACATGAGCCTAATAGATTGAGTGCTAAGTTTTTGAAAGGGCTTTATAATTTTATTCTTTTTGCCAAAGCTTCCGCGAGAGATGGAAGATTTGCTTGTCCTTGTCGAAAGTGTGTGAACATGCATCGGTTCTCACCAGGTGTTGTTTCTTCTCATATACTGGAAAATGGGTTCTCGCCGGGGTATACAGATTGGATTTTCCACAGAGATCCAACCTCTCAAACTAGTGATTCTAGTTATTCCCACCAAAATGATGATGGACTAAGAGAAGTTGATGCACAAGAGCAACACGGCGTTCAACAGTTTCTTGAGGATATGGCTGTTGGTTCTGATGAGATTGAAAATTCAAGATCAACCAGGGTAGAAAATGATTGGGGTGATAGCTCCACTATTGATGATGACACCCAACCAACTGAGGCATATGAATATGCCAAAAGGTTCCATGATTTATTGGAAGAATCTGACGAGGAACTTTTTAGTGGATGTCGTAAGCATAGCAAACTCTCATTTATCCTTGAGTTATACAACAAGAAGTGTATGTATGGATGGAGTGATAAGTCTTTTGAGGACTTACTGACCACAATGAGGGAGACGTTGCCTGAAGGGGAAAAACTTCCAGAGTCATCTTACGAAGTCAGAAAGTTAATTGATGCATTGGGTCTTGATTACCAAACAATCGATGCATGCCCAAATGATTGTATGCTGTTCTGGAAAGAACATATTGATGAGCCTAGATGCTTACACTGTAATGCATACAGATACAAGGAAGAGACTGAAAGTTCATCGACTTCAAAAAGAAACAAGATTCGAAAGGGAGTGAAAGTACTCCGTTGGTTTCCTCTGATTCCAAGACTTCAAAGGTTATTCATGTGCAAAAAGACGGCTTCTTTAATGAGGTGGCACTTTGATGAACGCAGGGACGATGGGTACTTGAGACACCCTGCGGATGCTCGTGCATGGAAAGATTTTGATAGTCGATATGCTGACTTTGCTAAGGAGCCGCGCAATGTTCGACTAGGATTGGCCACTGATGGGTTTAACCCTTTTAGGTCATTAAGTAGCACTCATAGCAGTTGGCCAGTGGTTGTAACTGCCTACAATCTGCCGCCCTGGTTATGCATGAAACAGTCTTCTTTGTTCTTGTGCTTACTCATTCCTGGACCTAAATCACCCGGAGCTAATATAGACATCTACTTGGAGCCCTTTATTGAAGAGTTGATTCATTTATGGGAAAAAGGAGTTGATACATATGATGCTCACGCGAAGACTACTTTCAAGTTGCATGCATCGTTGCTATGGACTATAAATGACTTTCCGGCTTATAGCATGTTATCAGGTTGGAGAACGAAAACAGGCTATGGATGTCCATGCTGTGGCTTCAATACTTGGTCAAAATGGTTAAAGCATGGTAACAAATATTGTTTTTTGGGGCATCGTCGTTTTTTAAGCTATGATCATTCATGGAGAAGAAATAAGAAATGTTTTGATGGCACAGAAGAGTTGAGAGGACCACCTGTTCGGATGACCGGATCTTGCATTCGTGATTTATGGGATTCTAATGGATCAACAAGGGATCTAAATGGTACAAACATAAACATCACGGAGGGGTGCAAAAAGAAAAGCATATTTTTTCGTCTTCCTTATTGGGAGTACAATCGAGTTAGACATAACCTTGATGTCATGCACATTGAAAAGAATGTATGTGATAACATTTTAGACACATTGTTAAGTGTTCGAGGGAAAACCAAGGATAACGTGAAGGCTCGCTTTGATATGCAGGAAATGGGTATAAGACACACTCTTCACCCATTTGAGTTGTCTACTGGGAAATACAGAGCAGCCCCCGCTCTTTTTGAGATGTCTTCGACAGAGAAAAAACAAATGCTTCGTGTGCTAAAACATGTGAAGGTACCTGATGGTTATTCTTCCAACATATCTCGTTGTGTAGATGTGAAACACAAGAAGATAAGTGGTTTGAAAAGTCATGATTGTCATGTATTACTACATGATTTGTTACCGGTAGCAGTGAGGGGATGTCTGAAAGATAGAGTAGCTAGAGCCTTAATTGATTTGAGTGCTTATTTTAGAGAACTAAGTTCTAAAGTTCTTAAAGTAAGTCGTCTTGAGGAGATGGAAGTAGAGATTGGAGAAATATTGGCTCGTATGGAGATGATATTTCCTCCATCATTTTTTACTATCATGGTCCACTTGGTCGTACATCTTGTAGAAGAGGCCAAATGGAATGGACCCGTGCAATATCGATGGATGTATCCAATAGAGAGGTACACATTTAATTTACGTACTTTGATATTAACTTTTGAGTTTTAGTCACGACACACACACATATATATATGCTCTTAGATTTTAATATTTTATGTGGTTTGTTGACTTCTCATTGAAGATAATTCTTATCAAGAAATTGGGTGGGTTGTTTTAATTTCAGTTTACTGTTTCTGTTTTGGCATTCTAGCCCTTATCATAGCTGAGATTTTCCATTGAAATGTTTGGACTCCATCTACTCTTTAAGCTATGCAATATATTATTTGCTTATGAAAAATGTATTCTCAATATAGGTACTTGATGACACTCAAAGCTCATGTTGGGAACAAGGCTTATCCTGAAGCCTCAATTGCTCAATGGTACATTGCAAATGAAGCAATTACATTTTGCTCTAGATACTTTGAAGGAGTCAGAACAAGATTTAATAAACCTGCAAGAAATAGTGATGACATGGATCTGTTGAGAACGGAAGATTCCCCTGTGAACACTACTTCAGGTCATCCCATTGGAAAAGTAGAAAATATTATCCTTAATCCTACTTCTTGGGTTCAGGCTCACCGATATGTGCTATACAACTCAAAGGAAGTTCTCCCATACATAGAGTGAGCCCTTCTAGTGTGCTTTATAGCACCCATGCTATAAAAAACAAAAAAAAAAGGTGACCTATTGAGGAGGTAAACCCACTAAATGACTGGTCCCACATCATTAATGGCAATCTTGTAAATAATGAATCAATGTATACAAGTGTAGGTACAACTTAAAGTTGTACCATTAGTATAGGTACAAGTTTCAGCTGTACCATTGAAGAATTTGTTTCACAAAGTGTAGGTACAACTTAAAGTTGTACCATTAGTATAGGTACAATTTTGAGTTGTACCATGAAGGGATTTATTAGAAAGTGTAGGTACAACTTAAAATTGTACCATGTTATAGGTACAAGTTTGGGTTGTACCATTAAAGAATTTTGAGAAAGTGTAGGTACAACTTAAGGTTGTACCATTAGTATAGGTACAATTTTTAGTTGTACCATAAGGGATTTGTTAGAAAGTGTAGGTACAACTTAAATTTGTACCATGGTATAGGTACAATTTTGGGTTGTACCATAGAAGGATTTTTGAAAGTGTAGGTACAACTTAAAGTTGTACCATTAGTATAGGTACAATTTTGAGTTGTACCATAAAGAGATTTATTAGAAAGTGTAGGTACAACTTAAAGTTGTACCATTAGTATAGGTACAATTTTGAGTTGTACCATAAGGGATTTATTAGAAAGTGTAGGTACAACTTAAATTTGTACCATTAGTATAGGTACAATTTTGAGTTGTACCATAAAAGAATTTTGAGAAAGTGTAGGTACAACTTAAAATTGTACCATATTATAGGTACAAGTTTGGGTTGTACCATAGAAGGATTTTGAAAAAGTGTAGGTACAACTTAAGGTTGTACCATTAGTATAGGTACAATTTTTAGTTGTACCATAAAGGGATTTGTTAGAAAGTGTAGGTACAACTTAAGGTTGTACCATTCGTATAGGTACAATTTTTAGTTGTACCTTAAAGGGATTTGTTAGAAAGTGTAGGTACAACATAAAGTTGTACCATAGTATAGGTACAAGTTTGGGTTGTACCATAGAAGGATTTTGAAAAAGTGTAGGTACAACTTAAGGTTGTACCAATAGTATAGGTACAATTTTGAGTTGTACCATAAAGGGATTTATTAGAAAGTGTAGGTACAACTTAAAGTTGTACCATTAGTATAGGTACAATTTTGAGTTGTACCATAAAGGGATTTATTAGAAAGTGTAGGTACAACTAAAAGTTGTACCATTAGTATAGGTACAATTTTGAGTTGTACCATAAAAGAATTTTGAGAAAGTGTAGGTACAACTTAAGGTTGTACCATTAGTATAGGTACAAGTTTGGGTTGTACCATAGAAGGATTTTGAAAAAGTGTAGGTACAACTTAAAGTTGTACCAAGGTATAGGTACAAGTTTGGGTTGTACCATAGACCGATTTTTAGAAAGTGTAGGTACAACTTAAAGTTGTACCATGGTATAGGTACAAGTTTGGGTTGTACCATAGAAGGATTTTGAGAAAGTGTAGGTACAACTAAAAGTTGTACCATTAGTATAGGTACAATTTTGAGTTGTACCATAGAGGGATTTGTTAGAAAGTGTAGGTACAACATTAAGTTGTACTATAGTGTATAGGTACAATTTTTAGGAAAGTGTAGGTACAACTTTAAATTTAGTGTAAAGGTACAACTCTAGAAAGTGTAGGTACAATTTTGAGGAAACACGGCTCATCTCACGGCCGTGACATGACCCGTGACAAGCAAAAGTAGTTTTCCTATCTCCAGACAATCACACGGCTTATTCTCACGCCCGTGAGAATCAACAGATGAGCCGTGAGAGGTACAGCATTCAATTCCAAAACACGGCTCATCTCACGGCCGTGATAATGTCGAAAGCAACCCGTGAAACCCTCTGGGAAACTGAGACGTGCGTTTTTACATTCACGGCCTATCTCACGGCCTATCTCACGGCCGTGATATTTCCAGAATTACATATCCAAAACCACGTCTTCTTTCACGGCCGTGGGATTTCCAGAATTGGCCGTGAGATTTCCAGAAATAGTCTGCACAGACATGCACCTGTACAACTAACCCTTGTACTTATTATAATGGTGCAAGTAACATAATATACTGTTTGTGAAAACTACAAGCTTATGAAAAGATGAGTCATAATGTTCTTTGAAGCTTGACACGAGCATTACATAGATCCTTCTCTAGTAACTGTACATCATATCAGATGAGATACCCTGTTAACAAAAAGTAAAAAGCAGTCAAAGCTTTACATTTGTCTTATAAAACAAACATCCATAACACGATTAATGCTTAAGTTTAGATGCATGTAGCCCACACTGGTGCATCATAATATTCTAATTCGAAAACATACAAGCACAAAAGCAAACACACATAGCTAAGTACTAAGGACTTTGGTTGGCTCATCTTCACTGCCCATCTTTCTCGTTAGTGTTCTCGTCCTCGTCTTTGTTTTCCTGGATTTGCTCATCTTCATTGTCCTCGCTAGAGTCACTGCTGTCTTCCTCATTGGTCCCTTTGACCTCTTGATTTTTTTCCTTGTTTTGGTCATCGCCATTGCCCTCGTCGTCCTCTTCACTGCTGTCTTCCTCATTGGTCCCTTTGTCCTCTTGAATGCTTTCCTTGTTTTGTTCCTCTCCTTTCTCCTCTTGATTTTTTTCCTTGTTTTGGTCATCGCCATTGCCCTCGTCGTCGTCCTCTTCACTGCTGTCTTCCTCATCGGTCCCTTTGTCCTCTTGAATGCTTTCCTTGTTTTGTTCCTCTCCTTTCTCCTCTTGATTTTTTTCCTTGTTTTGGTCATCGCCATTGCCCTCGTCGTCGTCCTCTTCACTGCTGTCTTCCTCATTGGTGTCACTGTCCTCTTCACTGCTTTCCTTGTTTTGTTCCTCTCCTTTCTCCTCTTGATTTTTTTCCTTGTTTTGGTCTTCGCCATTGTCCTCGTCGTCGTCCTCTTCACTGCTGTCTTCCTCATCGGTCCCTTTGACCTCTTCAATGCTTTCCTTGTTTTGTTCCCCTCCTTTCTCCTCTTGATTTTTTTCCTTGTTTTGGTCATCGCCATTGCCCTCGTCGTCGTCCTCTTCACTGCTGTCTTCCTCATCGTTCCCTCTGACCTCTTGATTTTTTCCCTTGTTTTGGTCATCGCCATTGCCCTCGTCGTCGTCCTCTTCACTGCTGTCTTCCTCATTGGTGTCATTGTCCTCTTCACTGCTTTCCTTGTTTTGTTCCTCTCCTATGTCCTCTTGATTTTTTTCCTTGTTTTGCTCATCGTCATTACCCTCGTCATCCTCTTCACTTCCCTCTTCATTGATCTCCTCGGTTGGCCTAGGAGATAGTTCCCAAGGTCTTGAGAATTGTTCGTAGTCAATCCTCAAGGACCTCATGATCTGATGGTTGCATTCGATGATGTAGCGTCGAGCTTCCTTCTCTCGATCGAGGCGGGAGAGAATGAGTGCATTTTGCTCCAGAATTTGGGCATTCTGCCGACCCAATGCCTCAAAATGGGATATGTAGCTGTCGGTGGATGGTCCGGCTTGAGTCGTAGTTTGGTGATGTTGTGCAGGTTGTTCCGGAGTCTCCTCGACCATTTGCTGAACAACATGCTCCGATGCGTTTGCCTCATCTGTTGCAAGAGGTCGAGCAGGATGAGGGAGGCCAACAATGCCTACCACACCATTCTCCTTAACCACCAAACACAGACATGATCAATATCAGAAGCATTAGTTACATTTGCTCAATGTTCAAAAGGAACTAGATTAGTAGGCAATCCAAAACTTGCACAAAATCAATCCTAGATTGTTTGAATCCCGACTAGTTATGTTTTAGCATTCACTGTGAAAAGGAAAGTGTTGGTTGGAACATTTACCTTTGACAACAAATTTAGATCCGCAAGGTTTTTTTGGGAGATTGGTTGAGTGGACTGGGCAATGGTGCAATGAGAACCCACCGGATCAATGCCAAAATGCCGAGCTAGCCTTGTGATGTAGGCACCTCCATGGATGGTCTTGATTTGTTTGTTGGAGGTGATCTTCTGTAGGGTTTTCAATATGACTATACCAAGATGAATTGGGGGATCTTTTACCATAGAGAGGAAAAAGTTCAAATCCCGCTTGGTCACACTCCCCGGGCTCCCCTCCCTAGCTGCCACAGAATGAGCGATAATGTTGTGGATGATACGCCACGGGGGAAGAAGATCATTCCCTTTATAGTGGGCAGGGTCAGACTTGTCCACATGGTTTTGTTTTACCGTTCTCCACATAGCATTGACCGATTCTGCTCTTGAATGATATATTTGCTCCGAAATAAAACCATGTCCACCTGTGGTGAGAAATCCTGGTGGGTATATCTGGAGTGCCTCTGTGAACTCAGTGATGCTCATCTGTCTCGCCTGTCCTCCAAGGCGAAAAGTTATGTTGTCTTCGGGCTTGTCGAGGTTAAACTCGGACATTCTCTTGATGGAGAGAGTGCTGAGGAACTCAATGGTAAGCTCTCGGTAGATGACCTCATTGATGGAGAGAACCTCACACCATGCCGGGAGACGGAGGCATGTGCGAACGGGTTCCGCTGCTCCGAGGCGCTCTAGGAGATCCCAATCAAAGCATCTTTGCTGCCCAAATGGGAGGGGAAGGAAGCGCTCCAAAGCCTTCCTATGTTCGACGGGTAATTGGAGGAAGCCGTGAAGTCTCCCTCCTCCAAGTTGAGCCTCCGCTTGTGGTGGTGGTGGAGATGGTTGGCGTGCCCGTCCTTGGTTGTTTTTGCGTTGTCGTTTGGGGGGAGTGTCTCGTTCTTGGGTTTGGCGGCGACGAGAAGAAGGAGCCTTCCTTTTAGCAGGTGAGGCTGCTGGTTGCCGGGTTTTTGGTTTAGCTTTCCCCATTCCTACAAAAACCAACTAAGCACATTTAGTCTTTAGTAATGCAATTCTCCCGCAAAACTTGGACCGACTGCAAAAGGGAAAAAGCGAGTACTGCTATAGCCACCAGCAAATAGTAAGAGCATCAGTTGT